CAGGAAAATATTTAAAAATCTCGTTTTTTCTGAAAAGTAGGCTGTTTTCGTAAACCACTTTTGCCCCATAAAATCATATCACCAAAAGACAATAAGATATGCATTCTACGCGTCACTTTCTATTCGGTGAAGTGGCTCCCATTGCTAGTAGAAAACATTTAATGCTAGAAAAAAAGAACTTTAAAAGCCGATTTCTAAGTATTCGTCTTTGGTCAAGTACTTTCAGAGAAAATACCAGAGGATTTTCGTCTATTTCGAAAGTACTTGGCCAAAGGCGAACACCTGTTTTTCTAATAGCCCACGTCCAGTACATGCGAAATATATGCCATCCCACGTCCTATAATCCCGTCGAATGGCGCAGCACATACTCAAATTTTGAAAAACGAGGAAAATCAGCTTTACAAGCTGCTTTTTCTATTAAACGTTTTCCATTCGCAATGCGAGCCACTTCACCGGATAGAACGTGAAAATATGCGTAGAATACATATCTTATTGTCTTTTGGTGATATGATTTTATGGGGCAAAAGTGGTTTACGAAAACAGCCTACTTTTCAGAAAAAACGAGATTTTTAAATATTTTCCTGAGAACACGGTTAACGTTTCGGAACTTTTTGTCCACTAATGATTTTGTAGCTCTGCACATATAGAAGCTAATCTGACGCTACCAGCTCATGAAAGTGTTTCGCTAAAAAATGGAGAAAATGTCCACAAAAGCACGGTTCTGCTGGAAAATGGGATTTCCACAGTTCTAGAAGGTCACCATGCCATTGTTTTAAAATTTTTTAAACGTGATATTCGTCACCAAGAGGCCGAGTTGTACTAGTCCTGTTACTCTCGAACAATTCCGACCAAATCGAAAAAAAATAACTCTGGTATGCTTTCAAAAGAACAGCCCATGTTTCCTCATAAGATAAATCGACTAGTTGTGAAATTATTTGAAAATTTCACCGATGATATCCAAGAAAAGGTAATATGTACGGATATATTTTCATGTTCTACATTGAAAGCAAAAAAAATGTCAAGTTTATTGAATATCATTAATGATGAACTATTTGAATTATTTATCTCATAGGCCGTGTTCTTAGAATATTTGAACAAAGTTATTATACACATAAAATTCCGACAGCATCCAGCCATAGTATGTTAGTGATTAATCGTTTTACTTTGTCTTAGTGATTTGCTTCCATTTAGTCTGAATTTTTTGAAGTTAGCTGTTTATCATTTGTTAATGGTGTTGGTGTTAGTCTGAAGGAGAATTACCTTTTTAAACGTTATTGCTCGAATATTGATATATGCAGAGGGCTACCATTTTTGTTTCATTCAACAAAAGCTCAACAAGAGAAAAGGTGAGTGTACGCACACTATAGATCTTTTACACACAACAATGATATTTTTGTTCAAAGTTGGTTTGTTATCAAAGATACGTATATAGCATATTTGAAATTAGATACATACGATCTACGATTTCCAATATTAGTAGATCATGAGTTTAACATACAGACCGGTATCAATCATACATGGGCGTTGAATAGTATTAAGATAATCAATTCACAAAAAAAGCTTATCATTAAATGTAAAGACATTCGTGAAAAAGACATATGGAAACAAAACTTAGAAAAGTTAAAAGAAAATACAATGAAAACCTTCAATTCAGTAACGACAAGATTTGGTTCGTTTGCACCCATAAGAGAAAATCAGTTAGCACAATGGTAAGAAGAGAAAAAAAAACTACACTTTATGCTTAATTATAATTTATTATAATATTGATAAACAGGTTTGTAAATGCAAAAGGATATATGGAGTCATTAGCGAAGGCAATACTAAGTGCTAAAGAAGAAATATTCATAGCAAATTGGTGGTTGTCGCCAGAATTGATGCTTATTAGACCATCCAATGATGAAACATATCGATTAGACAATTTACTGGTAAAAAAAGCTGTAAGTACGTTTTTATTGTTATAAAAAGCTCTTAAGAGGAAAGGTCAACAAAGTGTGACTTTGATCTTTCCATGAAGCATACTTAATTGTGATCACAAATCTGGTATCTATTTATTTCAACACGATCTTTCAGAACCTTTGTGCAAATTCAGTGGCTTTAGAAACTCATCACGATTTTTTTCGCTTAAAGAAATGCTGATAGCGTCACATTGTACGGTATATCAAGTTACCTATTTGCAAAAGTTTTGAGAACTAATGAACAAGTTTTCAGTAAGTTGTGAAAATTTCAGTTTTCTATCCGACCAAAATAAGGGCGATTGTCATATTTTTCATAATGAAAAACGTATTATTCACCTTTGCGAATAGGTGACTTGATATATTGTACAACGTGACACCATCAGAATTTCTTTAAGGCGCCGCTAATTCAAAAGAATTGCAAGTTCTTATTTTTCACTTAAAACTATATCATTCGATGCAAAATTTCACGGTGATTACGAATATCACCTTTTGAATTGA